AAATCATGGACACTATATAGATTTTGTATGCTGATTTTTTGGATATGTTCAGCGAAGTTAGTGTCTCCCTTGAAGATACTTTTTCTGTACAAGAAAGGGTCTAGTGATTGTTATGATCTTAACTAAGTGTATTATTTCTGTGTTTGCCTGCCATTGCCTCCTCGCTAATGGCAAACACTTTAATATTATTGGATTATCATTATTTATTGAAGCCAGTAGTTCGATATACAGGTGGCATTTTATCTTTCACATTTCACCGGTCTAAAATACATCAAAATATTAGTTTCGTCTATAATGCACATACATACAAGGCATGTCACGAGTCTCTTGTTTAAAGTAAAGCCGAGCTCTTCGGGAGTGACACTGAGAGTGATAAATAGCTGTTTTAGAGAGCAGACCTTACCATAGTAATTTCTATAATATCAGCCATTACTCAGATCTCTTCCTTATTTTATTTCCTTCGATAGTCGGTGTCACAGGCTTTAAGAGTGTTGAAAGACATTTTGAACCTTAAAATCGCATCAATTTCGTTGGTTACTGATGAGCGTGAGTAAAAATAGAAGAAACGTGACTGATAAATAATTCAACCACGGACGTTTGGAAAATAAGTACACTTTCGATATAATAAACTAACATCTCTGAAACACTCGTTAATATCTGTAACTAGATTTCATCAAGTTTTTATCTAAAATATACAGATGATAGAGTACTCATTTATTTATTTGGGCTTAGGGCTGTGTCTCGTTATGTTTCTTTATCCAGTTGTTATGAGATTGTACTGGAGTTTCAAGTTGTGAATATTAACTAAAATGATGTCTTTATACAACAGAGTAGCTCTTAATGTCTGCATATAACTAGATTTTAGTGTCTATCAACAGTGTAGTGGTACGAGAAGGGAAATGAGAACCTGAAGATGGGTTTCTAAACCCGAAACATGTCGCATATGAACTAATACCACGATATTAAACGTCCTTACACGCAAATTATAATTTGCGTGTAAGGACGTATACAGTAATAACATTTCAGTTTACCCAATTGTGTTGAACGAATGTACAAGTAACGATGCATACTTTTGTCTGGGAGTGTACGTCATGGAGGAGGGATGGATAGTCCTGACATTATGATGGCGGAGATCGAGTTGGGCTATTTAGGTAATTACAGGTTACGAACCATCTGTCGTCCAGATAGCAGAAATGCCAGTCGGGCTGGTTACCTCCTACCCATTCCTTCCCGATATGTATGCGCCTATAAAACCAGCCACATGATCATGTCTTGCATACTATCATTATCATTATTCTTTCCCTGCGATAAACATCGGCTGCCCCTTCTTCGTTCTACGTGTAGTGGTATAGCCTATCATGATTGGTCAGGAGTAATAATAATACAAAAAAGTTTCCTGTGCTTATATTTAAGTAAAAAAAAGAAAAGAAAAAGAAATGCCTTTCATGAACAAAATAGTAATTGTTCAGAAAATTGCCCTAAGAGGACTAAAGTGACTTTAAACTTTACGTAATATCAGAATGTTTCCAGGTTAATTATACGGCTTGGATCAAATCTTAAGTAGGTCTATGTGGAGTACAGAGAACAACATTCCTGTGATTAACTTTGTCTTGATTTGGTTTAAAGCAATTCAGTGTAGGTTTTACGACAAACATTTAGTAATTGTAGAAGGATATTGTCAGACCTCCAGGAGTAACATGATGTTTTCTTATGGAATTCGTTCTTTCTCATTTTTATTTATTCTCCTTAGTCTTAAGGCTATTAAATTTATGTTAAACTTAACAATGAAGTGTGAAACATGAATCGAAATAAATCACCTTTGGATAATGGAACTATAGTATTTCAGGATTTGAGGCGATTTTCGACAGAAACAGTACTATCTGGTCTTACTATTTGACTTCAGAATTAAGTAACAACTTTACCAACAATTTTACTTGTTTCCGTTTTTACCACATTTTACTATAAGCAATATTTTACGAAGTAAGCCTTTAATTAGTTTCCAGACTTTTTACTATAGGCATTATACATTTACTAAATACAACCATTGCCTGCGAAGAAACATATTTTTCTGCTAAGTATTTTCTTATTTGAAGCTGTGTGCATTTAAATGGAGACTAAGCGACAAAACTGCATTCGGTAACGGAGAAAGATTTTAAATATATTCGACAAACAAGATGACAGAAATTACACAATTGAAGGAAACTGGAAAGACAGAAGTGTTTTATATTATAGATTAGCCAGTTTTACTAATATTGAATTAAGAATGTAAAATGTGCGATGAAAATTCTGCCGACTGTCATTTAATGACAACTTCAGTAATAGTAATTCTTCAGTCACATATTTATGACACAGGGCGAAGATTGGAGCTGTACCTTAATTTTCCTTTGCCTTTATAAAACAATTTCTCTTACTCCTATTACATTTGATTTGCAATTTGGAAAACTCGTATTTTAGCACCTGATTTGTCTCTAGGAGATTCTAATTAATCTATGTGTAGTTCTGTGCACTTTATTATTAAATATTAAACGAAAGCAAGACACGCTGAATATATAACAGCCTAATCAATTATCCTTGGGTCGTGTTTTTTCTGTGATGGCGGTTACATTTTGCCTAGATACGATGCAAAAATAAACAAATCTGCTAAAATTATGAACACAGAATTTGTTTTTCGTTCTGCAGTGAGCGTTTTAAATAACAAGCTTTGCATTTTCTGTTTATTACAGTTACATTTTGTTCATGCAAGAAACGGTTGCTAGCAAACAACACGCACACACACACACACATACGGATATACACGGAGCATGGCACTTAAAAACTGGTAGACTGTTTTCTTGTGTTTAATTTAAGAGATTTAATTTTTCGTACGTATTAATTACCAGGATTTATAATATTATTGGTACTCATGACGGATCCAGCCCACATATTCTGTTTAATAACGATATTCTACAAAGCGTCCTCTTATTACGTTTACTGCCTGATATACGCATGCTTTATAATCATCTAACAGAAACCAGTTCTGTTTCGCTTTAGGTATGTGGGCATAAGCGGATGTTTAAGATACAGGAAGATTACCGAATGCAGTAAAGAGGGTTTTAATATGATTGTCTTTGGGATGTTGCTTCGTGTAGTCTATTAGTTGACCGACTGTTTAAAGGTGCTGATGCCTCCACAGTCTGATTTTCCTGTAATCACGGAGGCAGTAAGTACGTCTGAAACGTCGGTCAGCTGCTTCCAGATTACACAGCGCAATGTCATAAAGACAGTCGCCTTCATATTCACCGCCATAAGAACCTGAAATCTCACACGGTAAATAGGGTACTCTGTTGATGAGTTATAAAATGTTATCACGCTCTCCAAAGGTGTTTATTGTATTTTAATTTGCTCATTAATAGTACAGCGTCGGATGGCATTCTGACTATAATGCGAATCGAAATTGTGAATAAAGTCGAAGGGAGCAGTATTTGCTCCGCTTGAACGTTTGCTTGTAGGGTCTGAGGAAAACAATGAATACCCTTATGATAGTCTCTGCTCTCTGGTAGTCTCTACAACACGATAAGAATGAAGTGATTTTGGAACACTGATCTGCTTTGTAGTTCCTTGAAACGTCCTCAAGACGAGGCTTAGAATATCAACAAGGTAATTTTTTTATCTATTTTGGAAATCAAGGAGTAATTATAAAATTAGTTGAAATATGTAAGATTTAATACGAGGAAGTTAAGACGGTTTTATAGAATCATATTCACATTCAAGTTCAGCTGTTCATATAAAGTAGTTTCCTTTTACAGAATACCTGCCTTGCTTGAAACAATTGAAATTTAAAACACTAAGCATCTTCTTCCGAGAAGACGTTGTAAATAGGGCGAATTTATTTTGTGAGTCCTTTTAACTTCACTTTATTTGGTATTCAGTTGTGAATTAGACCTACTGTGAAGTACTGAATTCGAGTCGCTCGTACATTTATTAATGTTAATTATGCGAAATATCAGCCAGTTATAATATTCACCCATTGTAATTTTATAATTTGTATTTAACTGGGAACAGACATTTTTTAAAAAAAAATATTACGTCACATGATTTCAACCTGTCCAAATTGATTTCTGTCATTGATGTTTTGGTTTCATGTGATCTATACGTCGTGCCATAGAAAACCTTCACCTGCATGGAACGTGGTTATGTTATGAATCGTGCAACTACAATAGGATGTCATAGTATAAATTCTACTTATTATGACGTCGCGTTAATTATTTCGCACACTATATTTTTGGTCATTAAGTACCTAGTTCCTAAAAACTACGATTATACTTCGTTACAATTCGAATTGTGTGCCATTGTTTCATATTGTTTCTGTAAAGCCTTATATTATCAGATCAGGCGTGTCATACGACCTACATCTTTAAATAACATGACCAAGTTTCGTTCTTATCACTTTCTGACTTAAAAATTAGATTTATGACCGTGTTATTACCATAAGAACATAGCTGTCGTCATCACAGATACATTTTTGGAATTTACGTTAATAAAGATTACATATTTTCCAAGGGGTTTTATCACTTAAGTCTCTGTGACAACTTCAGATATTATATAATTCAAGTAAGGAGTACAGCTACACAACATTAAGACACCATAATTGTAAAGAAAGAAGGAAGTTTTATAGGTAACTTATTTGTGAATACCCCGGTATATTTATAATATTATGAATATATATGCCACTCATCCGCGCAGCAGAATTTCCTGGGCTGCCTCATTCGCATTCGATACGTCCATCCTCGACGTATCAGAAGGCGTCGTCATCATAATAATTGTGACGCAGGTAATGATAGAGTGAGCTTCTCTAATAACACGGTATGAGCTCAGAACATGGTCGAGGCCTTGAGGGTCCCATGGCCTGGACTCTTAGCTTCTTATTGGTTATGCATGAATCTCCATCCTGGTAAGCAAGATGGCTGCATGATGAGTGTGATGAAATGGAGACTTAATATAATTTGCATGTATTGTTGCAGGTGGTAATGGTGATGCAGGGTGGAGATGCAACTTGTGGTAGTCAAGATTCAAACCCAGGACCACCATCGTTCCTGTCTTGCTTCTAACACACCACTGAATCCAGTAGTAATAAGTGAGTATGGAGAGAATTCTCATTGTTTGTCATATTGATGTGTTCTATGCTTTACAGTTTCGACAACATTCGAGATTGTAATATTTAGGCTATACGCCTTTAAAAAATTATTGGCTTACTTCTGTAGAAAAATGCGTTGAAATTAACGAATTTTGAATTTACGAAAAGTATGAAATAGGATTTAAACAGATCTGCGTCATAATAGCAAATCTCATAATATTTAAGTCATATCAGTTAATTAAGAGTGATATCATCGAAGGCCAGGTTGAAGGAAAGCGAGGACTGGGAAGAAGACTGGTACAGCTAACCGACGATCTGAAACAACGAAAGAAGATGAAGTTTCAGGAGTTAAAACGAGAAGCTGCGAATAGGGAAAACTGGCGAACTCTTTTTGGGCAGAACAATGGACCTGTCGTCAGACAGAACACTAAAAAATAACGATTAGTTAATTATTCATAGCGGAAATTGGGGAACATTTTTAATTTCTACATCCAACGTAATTGTAGTAACGACTTGAGTGTCATTGGCCTTTAACAATTTAGTTACTTATGAGCGCGATAGTACTTTTACTTTCTTGTTGCCAACCTTGATGGAAGCATTACGCTTGTCAGCGGTCTGTACTTTGTTCCGAGATAGTCGTCACGCGGTAAAACCAGACAGATGGAAACATGCGACGAAGTATAATGAACGAAATGCAATAATTTCAGTTACCCAAACCTTGCTGCCTTGTAGCACATTTTAAATATAAATATTTAAGTGCATGAGGGAAAGTTGCGTTCATTCCAGGCATCCTGGTTTGCGGAACTTTCAAATGAATTCCTAACAACGGAAAACGTGTTTTATTTTATTGAAAGCAAAACCGCGTCACAAGTCGACACGAACACTTCTCAACGACGTTACTTCCTCTCAGTATCTTTTTTATATCAATACAGATCGATTAGGGGCGCCGACCTTGCGTTATTGCATATAAAAATGGAAAGACCTTTCTTGAAGCATATATATTTTTCTTCTTTTCTTCTGAGTAACACCTGTATGTTTTTTCCTTAAGGTGCCTACATCAGGACTGGCGATTAGTTTTTATATCGCGCGCACAGTCATGGAGTGGGGAAACTGAACTTTGTTTTAGAATATTTCAGTAGAGGAAGAGGAGATTGTTTTTAGTCAATAAAGGCAGCTGCTAAGGTGCCGAAAGAAATAAAGTCAGAAACCCCGATGTAGTGTTGGAAAATACTACTTTTCTTCAAGTCACAAGTTTCCTGGACACAGTTTATTCGTAATTTTTTGTTCTTTTCTTAATTGTTTGTGTAGCAGAAATCATATCGTTTTCAGCATCGCAGTTTGTGTTCGCTGCTGAACTTCATTTTCTATACAATAGTCGTTATGAAGCCGTTTAGCAGGCATGTTTGAAATATTCACTTTCCTGATTCCCTTACAACCAAATTTCAACCGTTTTTCAACTTGTTAATAACTTTAACACCCAATACAAAGACACCCACTGAGGCACTTTTTATATTCTGCGAACTATCCGTCACTGTTTATTTATGTGTCCGCTCTCAATACATTTTAAATTTAAAATGCATGTAAAATATCCGCGTATGTGCCACTATTTTGTATTTAATCTGAAGTGCAAATGTGTTTAATTAAAAGTAATATTTTTGCGTGCTTGTGGGAAAACTGGGGAACAAAAGTTTTTCTTAAGAGTAAGGCTGAAATTCGTAAAAGGCCGGTGTGATAGATGCTCACCTCTCATGAAATGGCCCCGAAAAATCTACCTCATTTTCAAGAGGCCTTAGTTTATATTTGATATTTATAATTTATTTAACAAATGTTTAACTATCTAGACTATACAGAGTAATTAATTGAAAATGGTGTAGAATGAAGCGATCCTAGCCTAATTTAAGTTGCTATCATGGTTTTGTGTGGAAGGACTGGAGAAAACCACGAAAAACCTCTGTAGGTTTACCCATCTTCTGGGCCGAGAAATAGATTCTGAATTCCACCTGCCTGGTCTACATTATTACATAGATAAAAAGAGTCTGTTTCAGCCGATCTAACTACAAATATGTATATATGTGATTATGTAATGATAAAATATCATAAGAGCAATTTATCTCCTGGGTTGTAACGTTGTGCAGTAAAGTTTAACGAAGTTCCATAAGGTACTTGCTGCCTCCATCATCAGGTTTCTAATCATCGCCACGGTGATGGAGATAGCAAATACCTCTGAAACTTCTGCAAACTTCTACCAGAATACACGGCGCTAAAACCCAAAAGACAGCCTTCTTGGAATCGTTTATTGGTGGTTTTCACTGAGAGCAGACTAGAACCACCAGGCCAAGGAGAAAAGGACAAGTCTCAACAGACGACCAATTATACGCGCGTGTTTAAAAGCGCCGGTAGCGTCTAGACGCGTGGAGAATCGAATGACCGTCGGAAAGGGAGACCCAAAATATTTCAAGTGAAACTCTGAGCATTACAACTTTTTCCAATTAAATTCAGCGTGTGTCGTGGAATGGAACGCCAATTGCCGCGTTGAAAACTTGGTTGATCGGCGACAAGGAGGTATTTTCTTAAAATTTTGCGTTTAAAAAGCGTATCACAGTAAGCCATTGCTGGAGTTGTGCTGATGATCGTAGTATCTGTGTAGGACCTTCAATACTAGAGTGGCTTTGAAGTTCCCCAGGGCAGGACTTCAATATTTATCAAGTAGACATTTTCTATCTTCAAGTTTACCTTGATGACCACCTAACCTTGTGTTTGGGGGACTACGTAGTGCTTCAAGGATTCGTGTGTTTACATACTGAAATGCAATCTGTTGTTCAGGCTGATACGTACCAACAATGGAAAGTTGAAACCACATAGGCTGTTACATAAATTTGAGGTCGACAGTTTGAAATAACCTACTGTAAAAAAGTGCGCTACATGCAAGACTTCTGAGATAAGATATGAGGCCCATTCAGGAACATAGAAAACAAATGATGTCCCTAAAACTGACTTACTAAGGGCAGTGAAATTTTGGAGATACAAATGAGCTGGGAATGTAACTATAATGTGTAGAACAAGGAAAGCTTATAGATATTTGCTTGGAAAATATCTTGAAAAGAGTCTACTGGGATGACCAAAAATGAGACGGAAGGATAACATCAAAACTGATAGTACGCAAATAGTAGCGCGCATCAACACGAAAAGTAGCCGGCTTATTTTAGGTGTTTAACCGTAGGATTTTGCTGCCATAGGAATGTTAGTTATAACTAAGCGTGTGAATTGTACAGCATAATCTTGTTGATAATTTCACACAGATTTATAACATAGGAACCATGTATGTGTGACGCGTAGAAAGAATAGCAAAGTATAATTTTATTTTATTTTATATACGGCTCTGAGACATCATGTTGCAGAATCAAGAAAATTAAAGTAGGAAGCTTCGTAATTTGTGCTTTTCCACCAAAAATTTTACAGGTGGTGAAGGCAAGTCGTTTGAGATTGGCATACATGTAGCATACTGGGGGTGAAGAAGGCATATAAAATTATTAGGAAAATGTGAAGGCAGAAGCCACTCGGGATATGTAGGCGTAGATGAGATAATAACATTAAAGTAGTTCTTAAAGGAAAAGGCCTAGTGTATGAGGACGTTTATTAGATTGAACTTGCTCAGGATAGGGACCGGAAGAGGGCTCTTGTAAACACGATAATTATCCTTCGGGTTACATAAAAGAAAATTTTTTCACCAGCCTAGCATCTGTCACCTTGAGAAATTAAACTGTGTTCTTGCAGAATGTAATGATTTTCTATGTTCGAAGGATGTCGCGTCTGACATACTCCCACGAGTCGCGCCTAAGTAATAGACCAGTTACTATGAAGTAGTTGAGAAACGAAGCTTCCGGGCGATCTCAGCTACTTTAAAGTTGCCCGACTGATTGACAACTGTTCCCTAAGGCTGGCATTATCTTCAGAAGCCAGTATAAACCGGACAGCATTAACACGTGCCGTCTCAATGAAACTTGTGCTGTGTTGATCGAATTTTAATAAAGCCGTCAGAAGTGCACCAGTTTGTGTATGACCCGACTTTTTATATGATTTGACGTTTTTACGTCGGCGAGTACGAAGATACTTCTCTTCTGGTTCGTAGCGCCGTGCCTCTATCATCAGGGCGTTGATGGAGGCAGCGGGAACCTCTGAAAAGTTGTTAAACTTCTAGCAGACTACGTGGCCTTAAGACCCAGAAGTGTTTATAATTTCATCATCTGTTGTTTTAATCTTCACAATCCACAAGATGTCTACCTTACGATTTTACATATGGAAACTACGTATCTGTTTGTGTGTGTGTTAACGGGAAAACTTTGGCTTTTGTCGAGGACGTTAATTTTTTTATATGCTGTATACATACGATTAACCTACATTCCCGATAAACCAGCTTGTTAATTACAAAGGTATACTTAAGCCAAACTTGTATTAGTTGAGCCTTTAGAATTTCTTCTTAATCCTGTTACACTGCTACTACTACTACTACTGGTGGTAGTAGTAGTAGTAGTAGTAGTAGCAGTAGCACTGTTACTAATTGTTTTACCTGTAACTTTCATAGTATGGGAATAATTTGGGGATTGGAAACAACACAACGCAGAAAGAAGGAATTAAAATTCGCTGTAACAAAAGTTTGATAAAGTTTGTTTGTTAATTACGTGCATAATAAGCTGTGTAAGCTGGCCACGCTGCCCAAAGGAATCGTGGTATTTGTGTTTCCAAGCAAGACCCACCGTAGCACGCTCACTTGTCCTGGTGGTGTGTTGCCGACCGCTTCAGACGTGTGATAAATGAGAGACAGCGGCCCAACAAAGTCTCACGGGAGCGTTCTTATCCACGAGGTCTGTAAGCCACCGAAACATACAGACAGAGATGGATTCCGAGAGGGAAAAATATAGAAGGAAGTCAGTCCAGTTCTGTAAGGTTTGTTTGTTAAACGCTGTTCACGTTCTAGTTACAGTAACAAATGCAGTAACGTA